GGGCCTCTTGGAGAGAGCTTCTCAATTGTTGATCAAGAGCCGCCGAGATTCGACTAGAGTAGTGTACAACTCTCGGTTAGAGGCGTGGTGCCCAGGATGGCGTCTCTTGGTGTCATAGCTGATTTCCGTATTTCATTATTTGACAAAGGTAGATTTCTGTCCACGTTGCGTGGGTATCTCTCAGCTATTGCTGCTATCCATGCGGGGTTCCCGGATGGTTCGGGGGTGTCGAACTCTCCTCGTCTGGCAATGTTGTTGCGGTCGTTTTTTCTGGAGCGACCACCCCAACAGAAGCTGGCTCCTCCTTGGAGCCTGCCCAAGGTTTTGGATGCTTTATCTAAGCCACCTTTTGAGCCTCTGGCCAAGGCGTCTTTGCATTGTCTCACAATCAAGACTTTGTTTTTGATTGCGATTGCGTCGGGGCAGAGGAGAGGCACTCTTCACGCCCTTTGTGTTTCTCCAGGCCACATCCGCTGGGAGAGGATGGGTGTGAGGCTTATTCCCAAGCCTTCCTTCATTGCGAAGAATCAAACTGTCTCATCTGGTCCGGTGGAGATCTTTCTTTTTCCTTGTCCATTGTCTCCTCTGTTGAGGAAGACAAGGTCAGGTGCCCGGTTCGGACTCTTAAGTGGTATCCAGACAGGACTAAGGGTATCCGGACGGATGAGCAGTTGTTTCTTATTACGCGGGAACCCTTCTCTCCGGGGTCTAATGAGTCCATCTCTAGATGGCTCATTGAGGCGGTTCAGGCCGCGGGCCCCGAGGCTCTCGCGGAGGGTGTGCGTCCTCGGGCGCATGACACCAGGGGTAGTACCTCCTGGGCTTTATTTCATGGAGTAGCCCTTCATGATATTATGAAGGCTGCTTTTTGGTTGTCGCCTAATACGTTCATTTCGTGCTATCTCAAGGATGTGCCTGCGAGTGAGGAGCGTTTTGCTACGGCATCGTTGTTGGCGGCTTTGTCTTCGTTGGTCCCCCGCTTACCTTTTTGTTTGGGACATGCCACCCGCTTTCATCTGTGTTGGTCTAAGCAATAATAGGTAGATACATATGATTTATTGTATTAACTTAGTTAAATCAGAACTGAATTTTATTATTTACTATATAAATCTATGTATCTACCTATGTCCCTCCCTCCGGCCCCTCTCCTTGTTAGCAACATGTCCCTATGCTGTATCTGGGACTGCTTTAAAGGGGCACGTTCATGCCAGTGTAGTTATCGCTGCTCTAGTCATCGCCATCTTGGTACCGAAGATCGACTTCTAATCAAAGTACGGAATTCTGTTGGTGTTAATAGGCAGCTAGCACCGTTTGCCAGCGGGTACGTATTTTGAACGCCCTCTGGAATATGGGGAACATGCCCCTTTAAGAGAGGAAGTTTTGCATGCGGTCGTAGTGCGTGCGTGACTGAAGGCTGTCCTTTTCCCTCTCTCTTTTTCTCTCTCTGTATTTCTTCTTCTTTCGCTCGCTTTCTCAGCTCCATTTTCAATCTATATCTCTGGTACTGTTTTCTGTTCCGCTATTTACTATTATTCCGAAAGTATTCCTTTCGATCTTGAGATAAACTACTATACCATAACCTCGACATGGATAAGGAGAACGCGTTTCGACGTACTCCTAAATGAAAATAGCTGATCATAATTATAACGTAGAACCAGATTTGACCCTATCTGAAATATTCATTTTAATATATAACAATAATGGAAAGATAAGTGAATAATAAAAATGTGATTTAATAAAATGTCACAGACGAAAAGACGAAAAGCGTACCGTCATAAGCTTCTAGGGGCGAGCTCTGATTACGCTGCTCCCAATGAAGTACCAGCAGTATCAGTATTCTGTGTATGGAAAGGTCTCAGCGAAAGTGAATATCTGTGAGACAGACATCGCGGAGCTGTAACATGCTGTTCTACGAATTTCACGTGACAGAAAACTGGACATGCATATAAAACACTATTATAATGAATAATATGAAAGTACAAAAAAGAGCAAAGGATAATGATAGTATATAATGATAGTATATACCTTGCTCGATCGGAGAAATAAAGTATCTTGAATCTTAATCTTGAGTGTTGTGCAAACTGTATTAATTTATTTTTTAATAATATTTTTGTTAATGGTTTGAGCAAAATTAACGAGAATTTATAAACGAATTTGAATGATTTGTTACCTTCCTTTCATTATCCCCCCCCCCCACCGGAAAAAAAAATCCGGTGACACATTAGCACACCTGGGGGAGGGAGGGAGAAAAAGAATGTATAATGAGTGCAATTTTCACATCTGAATGAGATTTATTTAATGGAAGAGAAAAATCAAACCAAATTTATATACGATGATTCCAAACAAATTTTAATGATTTGTTGCTTTCCTGTCATTATTCATCACCCTCCCCTCTAAATGATAGTAATAATAATACTACTAATAATAATAATTAGCGGGAGAAGCACTAGCGTATGGTTGAGGAGGGGGCACGGGGCAGAGGGCGGATATGGAGGCAGACTGCTTCCCTAATGGGTGACAAGTGAAGAAAAACGAGAGAGAGAAAGGGGGGTGAGAGATAGATAGAGAAAGAGAAGAGAGGGATGAAAAGAGACATAAAGGAGAAAGAGAAAATATTTTCTTTGAAGAGGGCTAATTTATACCAAGTCCAAAGAAGAAAAAAATATTCAAACCTTCCGTAAAATCGTTTTGACTCTTTATGTTAAATGACAATGGAATAGCAAAGTCTCCAAACAAGAATTCATGAATAAACACATTGGCTTTTGGCCAGCACGTGATTGTCTATACCGGCAAGAGAAGAAAAAAATCCTGCGAGTCGGTATTCCATTGCTGGAGAATTAAATTTGAATGGGGCTCCCATAACCCATATGTCAGCTATAATTTTGATATTGTTAAATTGTCAATATAAACATAAACTTAATGTATACCCTTCATACATAACTCAGCTATTAATAACAAGAAGATGTGTAGGCTAGGTGATAAATATTACCTGCTCATGAGTGTATGAATGAATTTGTATCCATCAAATATTTTTTAAATTGCTGAAGCAAGGAAACTATAATTCACCCATGAAATTAAAAAAACCAATACAAAATAATTATACTAAAATAATCTTAAAAAATAATTATTAAAAAAAAAAAATCTTCCTTTTCCAATCTGCCTATCTCTCTCTCTATTATGTCTCTCTAATGTCCACTCTACATGTATCGCTCTCTCATTCTCACTCTTCCAATTGCTGTACTACATGTATTTATTATTCATGTTCATACGTCTACTTCATCCTCTATATCTTTGTCCTCTTTCTATCTCTCTTCCTTCCATTTCTCTCCCTCCCTGGACTCCATTTTCCATGTCCTCTATCTGTCATCCCCTCTTTGCTATATAGTGTTAAACTTAATGCTCACTACCCGCCCATCCCTCCCCCTCCCGCTGATTTGGCCGGTCGGTTGAGTCGCTGCTTAATATTTACTCCCAAATTGAACCCCCTCAATCGCTGCCGGTTAGATCTGCCCCTGCCCCACCCCGCGCCCCCTAGAATCCCGTGGATGTTCCGCGGGCCCAATCAATTTTTTTATTTTCGATAGCACACATATCTATTCACAACCCCCACCCACTAAATCTAGTCACGAAGAGCTTGATATACCCATGCAACAGAAATGATGTTGTAGTGGAATTGTTCTGGAAACCCTTCCACCTTCTGGGGGTGTTTGTTGTGTTTTTCCCCCCAAAAAAACTGTGATACATACCATATTCACAAATACTCATGATTTTGACGATTTTGGGGGCCCCGTTTTATAAAACGGATGATGCACAAGTTGAATTCCTAAATTGCTGGTAAACTTGTGGCGATCCAGCATTTGCTTTGGAATATATTTTGTCCAATAAATTGGGTGATAGGTAAAGTTGTGATAGGGTTTGAGGTTATAGGTTTAACATATAATGTTAGGTGCAGAGTTGAATTTTATAGGAATTCGGTGTATTTTAGATTACATTGCGCATTTGGGACATACATCCAAACTTTGATATTTGTGCACTTGTTCATTGTATAAATGTTGTGCTTTTGTGTCTGTCACTTCTCAGTGCGGCTGACCTGTACATTACACAGCACTTAGACAAGTTCTGCTGCGAGTATCCAGGGATGGTCTACATGGTGCGTTTGTACGCAGTCACTCACCAGAAGTCTACAATCCATGACAAAGTCATGAAGTATGTTTTGACAGATGAGCAAGGGAACCTGCGACACCCGTATGACAGTGAGATAAGCGGTAAGATATGCTGATTGTATATTCCATATCTTAAGAGAATGAAAAGAAATTAATCCTATTGCGCAAATGTCCTGCAATGGCTGAGACCTATTTTTCACCTAGATTTTGTTAGCTTTCATACCGTAAAAAAGGAAACATCATGACATAGCTGTCAACCATTCCTCTTGTGGAGGAACCAATCCTGTTTGTTGCCTTAATTCTAGTGTTAGAAACCCCAGATTCCTCTCTCTTACTGAAAACTTCTGTGTGAAAGCTAATGTTGTTTTCATTAACACAAATGTATTAACTGTACCGTATTATCATTATAACTCCCACAGACTGGGCCAGTTATGCTAAGACGCAGACAGAAGGCAGCCGTCGAACACCCAACATTGTCATCGCAACCTTGAACACGGCTGTGCAACTGACCCGCAACATGGACCTGAAGGAGTACTTCACCCACATCATCATTGATGAGGCTGGTCAGGTCAGGGAGACAGAGGCTATCATTCCCCTTCAGCTGGCAACAAATGACACCTGCGTTGTGCTGGCAGGGGATCACAAGCAGATAGGCCCCAAGGTTAGTAAGATCTGAAACTAAAGGCAGACTATAGCTGTTAAAATCATGACATTGAGTTCATATTATTTTCCAATATGTAGGAGCTATCCCTAAGTATTTTTTCTTTTGAATGAACAGTATAAAGCTCTGTTAAAGGATTGAATCATTGAGAGCAGATGTGATTACATGTAAACAGCATGACAAAATTTGAGGAAATTCATGTAACTTCACTGGAGAGGAAGCCGTCTCTTCCCATACCCTCCCCGAGCATCTTCCATATTTCCACCAATCTTGCCCCAGAGTATCCCCATAGTGCTACTTACACTTGTTGGAAATGTGTCACATTATATAGAAGAACATAGTCTTAGCAATCTTCAAACTTTTCTGTTTTCCACAGGTCTATTCCTCTCGTGCGCGCAGTGCCAAGTACAATTTTTCTCTGCTCCAGCGACTGTTCAGCTACAGTCGCTACCACAAGTGCTTCTTTGATCTCCTTCTGACCCACAACTACCGGTCCTGTCTAGAAATCCTGGACTTCTTGGCCCCATACTACAATGCTCGTATGGAGGCCTTGGGTACTCACCCAAGACACCCCCTCTTCTATCCTCTCAACTTCTACGTGGTGAAGGGAGAGGACAGGCTGATGGGAGCATCCTATGTGAATGAAGAGGAGATACTGGAAGTGGCCTTCAGAGTGGAGGATCTGTATCAGAACTGGCCCCCTGACTGGGGTCCGTTGGATGACGACAGCATAGCCGTTTTGACCCCATACACCCTCCAGGTATGAAGAACTATGATGAAAATTGATCCTCTGATATTAAATCAGGGATGCCAATTTTCTGTCAATTGCCAGAATTCCAGATTTTTTATATTTTGGGTGTCAAATTTCCAATCTCGTATATTGCTTTTGTCCTTCTCTCCAACTGGGAAAAGCACCAGATGTGTGTGTGTGTGTTTGGTTTGGTTTGGTTTGGTTTTATTTTCCGTATACAAATTCAATACATACAAGAATACAATTTACAAATAATACAAATCAAGAATAAAAAAAGGCTGGAAAGCTCTATTCAGAGCCATTATTAACATGGCTCTGTTCTTCCTAGAGGTCCAGGTCTATTCCTCTCGTGCACGCAGTGCCAAGTACAATGTTTCTCATACTTGTGTAATTCTGAAAGAATTAGTATCGTCCGAGCCGTCAGTAGAACACATTCGCACTTTGAATGGTATCCCAATAAACAGAACACTAAAAAATAACCTCTTTTGGCGGTGTGATTTTAAAGTATGGTGCCTTTTGAACTAGACTTAAACGTTATTGTTGTTGCGATTAATGGCGTTTCCATCGTCATTCGATGATTTACGCCTTGCAATGTGAGAGGGTGTAGTTACTGGTCCTCTCTTAATACTTTTACTGTTGGATCGACGATAGCCTAGTGGCGTTGTGTTGTGCAATTAACAATGTCAGTAAATTGTTAGTAGTAATTTTCTGTTTGTTATTCGGCTTGTTATTTTAAAGAATTCATTAGGAAAGAAAGGATGAAGTGGTTGAATATTAGTTGCGATCAGTTCATTACGTTGGGACGTTAGTTTAAAGCCTCTCTCCGTATAATGAAGCAATTTATACAATTTATACAATGAAGCAATTTGTACCGAGGATAGTACCACTGTCACTAATAGATAATATAGCAAAACGTAATTAATACTCAATTAATACGTAATTAATACGTAATTAATGTTTATAGCTGAGCATCCCAGTTCATTGTACCTTCCACTGCCTTTTTAAAAAGCTACCACCTTTCCTATATATTCCTCATTTCCTAGTAAGTGACCTAGATTTGGATTTTGGGTCTTTAGTGCTCTGTACGTTCTCCTTCGTTGTCTTTCATATGTTGGACATGATAATAAAAAGTGCTCAATTGTTTATATCGTTTGGCATTCTACACATAATCCAGTGTCGTGTTTTCTAATTAAATTCAGTTTACATTTACTAAGCCTGAATTGGTGGATTTTCGTCCTTTCGGTTCAAACCTTTGATTTTAAAAACATTATTTACATTTTTATTGATGCTATACAAGTGTCTTCCATTCTCTGCTTTATCCCAGAGGCTTTGCCACATGGATTTATAATAAATATCTGATTCTCTTACGAACTCACTTTTGTTTTGGTTTACTATTATATCTGTGTGTTTTTTTAAAGCTTGTTTTGCCAACAAATTAGCTCTTTCATTTCCTGCTAGGCCGCAGTGGGCTGGTACCCATTCAAGGTTAACATCTATCCCGAAGGAGTTAATAGCAAATAATTTGTCATATATCTCAACAATTATGCTGGATTCTCTCACATTCTTTCACATGGCTTCTAAAGCTGATACTGAATCTGTTAAACTCACTACTGCAGTTGGATGATATTCATCTTTTCATTCAAGTGCCATTAATATAGCTACCAGTTATGCTCTCATGATGGATATATGGGATGTTTTAAAGCATTTACTTAAGCTTAGTTTTGGGATATAGTAAGCTGCTCCCGTATACCCTTCCTGTTGTTTTGAAGCGTCTGTATAGATTCTTAAACAGTAATTCCATTTTTTTCTTTATGACCTCTACAGCATAATTTTTTTATTCTATTGATGAAGAAACTTTCATAGAAACAAAATCATTTATTTCTGTAGATATACTTGGCATCCTATAGTGCCAATAAGGTTTAACCGTAATGCATTCAGTGAGCTTTTCAATATTTCCTATTTCCAAGTTCCTCAATCTTTTGACGAAAGGACCTTGGCCCATTTTCCAAGAGTAATTTTCATATTGCCAGCACGGTAATAAGACTTTTTTTGGTATAGGAGGGCTAATTTTAGCTGCATGTGGCAATGGCATTTCCACGCATTCAACTTGTAAAGCCTGCAATGAAGTTAGATGAACTACTCCAGTAATAATTTTAAGAGCCTGGAATTGTATGGTGTCTAATTTCCTTTTAAGAGAATTACTCGCGCCATCATAAGCTTCACTTCCATAATCTAACACAGAGCGGATTAAGTCTTTATTAACATAGTGAAGTATTTTCGAGATATTGCCCCATTTTGTACCAGCAATACATCTCATAAGATTAAATCTTTTTTTTTGCATCTTATTGAAATATCATTTATATGTTTACTACACGTCAATCTCGAGTCGAACCATACTCCAAGGAATTTGTATTCTTTTTCTAATTGAATACTTTTACTATATATCTGTAAATCAATATGTTTATTTTCCTTTCTGCCGGATACTACGGCTCTCGATTTTGAGGATGAGAGATGCCTGTAATTTTTTTTGTACATGTGTCATATTTCTATGCGAAAACCAAATACATATGTCATCATCATACAATGATATTTCTACAATATCCTGAATTTTCTAAGATCATTGATCATGGAATTTAAAATTAAGGGGCTTATCACGCTCCCTTGGGGAATGCCTATATTACATTTTTTGGTTCTGATATGTAGTTTCCCACTCTAACACGATTCACTCTGTTAGACATGAATGCATTAATCTATTTTAAAATCTTACCTGTGAAACCTTGATTATATAATTCGTAAACTATGCCTTGTCTCCATACTCTGTCGTACGCCTTCTCTAGGTCAAGAAAAATCACAACTGTATGTTCTTTATTTGCCATTCCTTTTTGAATATCTGTTTCTAATTTAATTAAATGGTCAGTTGTACTTCTATTCTTCATAAATCCCGATTGTATGGGAGTAATAATATCCTCTCTCTCGATATACCATGGGAGTCTGTTTTTCTCAAGTCTCTCCATTAGTTTACACAGTGTTGGGGTTAGAGAGATTGGGCGGTAAGACGACGGGTTTGAAGCATCTTTTCCCTTTTTAATATCGGAATTTGAATAGCCTCAGTCCATTGTCTAGACAATATACCTCTATTCCATATTCCATTATATAGTTCTAAGATCATCTTGATAATTTCTTCGGGAAGGTTGCTTATCATCTTGGAATAAATGCCATCCTTCCCAGTGTTTTTTTAATTCTAGTAGAGCACTATTAAGCTCACTAAGGCGGAAATCTTCATTTAATACATTTTCCTCGTGGTTTTGCATGTTATTAATAATTTCTAAAAGTTTTGTTTCACTCTCTTTTCTCTTGACTATTTCTTCTTTCCCTATAGCTAAATCTAGAGAGTTAAAAACGTTCAAAAACGTATTTGCTTTTTCAGTTGCTGTTTTACCAATTACCTTTCCAGCTTCCATAATCAAATTCGGTATTGATTGGTTCGTACTTTTTTGTATGTCTTTGATCGTCTTCCACACGGCACCAATGTCAGCTGTCAGATTGAACTATCGACAATAATCTCTCCAACATTCCCTTTTTGCTTTTCGGATAACTAATTGTGTAATTCTTTTTTTCTCCATATAAATCTGAAAATCCTCATGTAGGTGAATTTTATACATGAAACGACTTTTTGCAGCGTTTCTAATTTTGACAGATTCTATACATTCCTTCGTCTACCAATGTACCGGTTGCCTCGCTTTATGCTCGGTACTTACCTTTTTGGTTAATTTGTCAATGGAGATGAGAATAATGCCGTTAAGAATTTCAAACTTCGCTTGCAGGTCTGCTTCTTGGTATTCCTTTTTGCAGTCCTTCATTTGGTTCTTTATCTCCATTTTGTACAGTTTCCAATCAACATTATTTAAAGAACTTTTTGCAAATAACCTTGTTTTTTCGTTCTTTTCAAATTTTTCTTCTTTTGGGAGGTTCTTTGAAACAAAAGGCAAATCAAAGCTGATTAAAAAGTGGTCACTTCCAAAATGTTGTTTCTATACAGACCATCTGCTAAGTTTTGCTAATTCTTTGGTCATAAATATTAAATCTAGGCAAGAGAAACGACCTGTGTGGGGGTCTATCCTTGTCGAGGTACCTTCGTTAAGAAGCACCAGATCATGTTTATGCATATATTCTTCCACTATCCTCCCGTTTGCGTCTATGTCCTTACTACCCCATATTGGATTGTGAGAATTAAAATCCCCACATATTATCACTTGATTCTTACAATATAATATCATTTCGTCGAGCGTTGGTGCCGCAATTTTTTTGCAAGGGTTATAAAAGTTGACAAGTGAAAAGATGTGATTATGCATAAATATATCTGTAATTTGGTATTTCTGATCATCTGGTGTTTTTATTACTTGGAAAGTAACTGACTTATGTATATAAAATGCTAAGCCCCCTCTTCTGTTTTTTCTATTCTTTGTTATCAACGTATAATCTGGAAAACTGATGATACTGCAATCATCGTACCAGGTTTCCTGTAGGCAAATAATACTTGGCTTTTCTTCTTCACTTATAGCACTTTTAATTATTTTGGTGTAAAATTCAAAGCCATGAGCGTTCATGAATCGAGCATTCCACTGAAACACTTTACCCATGATGGAGCATAATGCAAATTATATATGCACATGAAAGTGACAATTGAATAATTGTTCCGTAATATAATTGGTTTGTACAATAGTCATTAAGTATGAAAGAAAGATATATGAGAGATAGACAGAAAAAAAGAGAGAGAGAAGAAATGAAAGAAAGGTGCCGGAGAGGGCTAAGGCGTTGGCAATATGATGTTGGAGGCCCACGCCTATACTCATAATTATTTTAACCTTTCATGAATCATTTCTGGATGTATGGTTTGTACACCCAGGCAGCAATGTGCTGCTTCTTTAACTAATCGAATTCTGTTCGAATTTGATGTTTCCTTTTCCATATTATTAATCACAAATACAATGAATGCAAAAAAATCTACA